TTGGCGCTAACGAGTTTTATGGCTCTGTAATCACGTGGTGTTGCACACATCACGTGGTGTTTCCCATAATATGCATATCATTTGATAGATCTCCTCATGTTGAACAACTTTGCCTCTAAATCCATTGCTGTCAATCAAATCATTCATTAAATATTCACAAATATGTTAAAAACCTACTTTCGCAAACTAGTCCCTGGTTTTTCGCCCGATCGGAACCAGACCAGTCTAGGACAATTCTCTGGACTCTCTAGATCAATAATTATCGAAAAAATTTTGAACTTTGCCCTTTGGTTCACTGTAACAGGGTCATTAAGAAAAGGGGGCGTGTCAAAATACACTTAAAAGCCTATAAATCATAAATAAAAACTCAGAACTTCACAAAAATTGATGAGCACATGTGTCATAACATGGTGAAGAAGCATGCAAAGTTTCATGGAGATCGGACCATAGGTGGTGCTATAACTGTCAAAAAGCTTTAAAACCATATATTTCCTATGTTAAATTGCCTGTATTGACTGTAAATGCTGATCTCTTAAATGAATGCTCAGATCTTCTTTAAAAAAGGTCAAGAACATGTCTAATATCACTCTGAACAGCATTGAAAAATTTCAGACAAATCGGACAAAATTTGCCTCTATTATTAATTGTAACAATTGCAGTAAACATTTCTTTTTTCCATCACATAGTTCAAATAACTGTATCTACAACAGAATGTGTGTGTGTAGTCCTAGGTTTCTGAATAAATGCAAAATAATCTGATTAATAGTTTACAAACACATTATGTGAAATGCTTATAGACCATTAAAGTATATTTTCATAATGACACATCCCAATAGCATTGAAAACCACAACAACAACATTTGTCTTTATTTGTGTGTGTGTGTATGTGTGCTAGCATGCTAGAATCATATTACATCATAGGCTACTAGAATGTGTTCAATTGTGGTAAATCATGCAAGAACAGGGTAAACCATGGTGAATCATACTAGAACTCGGTATATCATAGTAAACTATGGTAAATCACACTGTAACATAGTAAATCATTAACAATCACACTGAAATGTGGTATATCATGGTAAATCATGCTAAAACATGGTCTATTCCATCTATGATGTCAATGGTTAAATGCTTGCTACATAAAACTTATTGTCTTTTGATGCTTTTGTGCTTAACGGCCTTAAAGGCCTTAACTGCTTGAACACCGCTAAATGCTGCTAGCAGCTTTAATTATTATTATTATTATTATTCTTCTGCCGTAAAACGCATCGTGCAGAACAAACCGTAAGTGCTGGAGCTCTGAAACTTTGTCAGATGGTAGTACAAAAATCGAGGAGAGCCTCAGAAAGTATGACCCCGATTGGCCTATAGGTGGCGCTACAGCAATCAATTGCGCGAAACTGCTCATAACTCCTAAACCGCATGTCGTAGACTCAAGTGTCTTATATCTTTGGAAAGCTGGAGGCCTGAAGAACAAAACGTATATCTCCGATTTCATTTCCGGTATGCAAATTTTTCCGCCATTTTGAATTTTGTCAAAAACCTACTTTTGCGAACTAGTCCCTGGTTTTTTGCCCGATCAAAACCAGACAAATGCATACATGTTCTCTGGAGTCTGAATATCAATATTCATTGAAAAAAAGTTGAATTTTCGATTCACGGTCGCTAGGGGGAGTAAAATGATCGTTGTGGGAGGAGCCTATTTTACTAAAATGGCTATAACTCGAGAAAGAAATGAGATATCTTCACCAAACTTGGAACACATGTGTATGAGTTCAATCTGAGGTCACAGTAAAAAAATCGCGTCGACCTAACACTAGGTGGCGCTATAACACACAAAAAACCTAAATGGGGCTATGACAACCTGACCGTTAGTCTGATTGACTTGAAAATTGGTATGCAGTGTCTTGGTCCAAGGTGCCATGTATGTGTATGAGGAAATTGGCGTAACTAAAAAAACATGGCCGCCATCGGCCAATGAATTTGAGCACCTATTAGACGAGGTTAACGGAGGCCAATCGGAACGAAACTCGATGGGCATGTTCGACTCATGGCCAAAGAGGTCTGTAAGAGTTTTGAAAGAAATTGGCCACTAGTTGGCGCTAACGAGTTTTACGGCTCTGTAATCACGTGGTGTTGCACACATCCCCAAAATATGCATATCATTTGATACATCTCCTCAGGTTGAACAACTTTGCCTCTAGAACCATTGCTGTCAATCAAATCGTTCATTAAATATTCACGAATATGTTAAAAACCTACTTTTGCGAACTAGTCCCTGGATTTTCGCCCGATCGGAACCAGACCAGTCTAGGACAATTCTCTGGACTCTCTAGATCAATAATCATTGAAAAAAAGTTGAACTTTTGCATTTTTCGTATGGCTATAACAGGGTCATTTAGAAAAGGGGCGTGTCAAATACACACAAAAGCCTATAAATCATAAATAAAAACTCAGTACTAAACAAAAATTGGTGAGCATATGTGTCATAACATGGTGAAGAAGCATGCAAAGTTTCATGGAGATCGGACCATAGTTGGCGCTAAAACTGTCAAAAAGCTTTAAAACCATACATTTCCTATGGTAAATTGCCTGTATTGGCTGTAAATGCTGATCTCTTAAATTAATGCTCAGATCTTCTTTAAAAACGGTCAAGAACATGTGTAATATCACTCTGTACGGCATTGAAAAATTTCAGACAAATCAGACAAAATTTGCCTCTATAATTAATTGTCACAGGAAGCCTCAAAACGAAAGTAAAACATTGGGCCACGCCCCCCAAGTACAAATTCACTCATAACTCGAAAACGGAAAGTCTCTGCGCGCTCAAATTTTGATGGTAAGGTCCTCTCGGGGATCTTGATCCAAATCTATCGTCGCGGGGCTCGGGAGCACCCCCCCCCCCCCCGAGGATCGCTAATCTGTGAGAACCCCAACTTGAAACGGCTGTAACTCTTGATCCAGACCATCTAGATCCTTGTGGAAGAGCTTGTTGGAAAGGGCCCGTCCTCATCTAGCTTCGATTCGAGTTTGGTGCGATTTGGCCTGGGCATTCCCGAGATATAAGCCCACAAAGATATGCATTTAAACGGACATTACTCCCGCCCCCAATCACCCAGCAACACCGGAATGGTCTTGATCAACAGAGCTCTTCTAACACTATCTAAGTTCTGAGTTTCAGATTTTTTCACTTTCTCGTTCCCGAGATATAAGTAAAAAAAACAAAACGAATTTCCCGTCATTCATTTCAACCGTTTATGTAGGCTGTAAAACCGCTGTTGTCCACTAGAGGGAGCAACAGCATTAGACGTTTTTAATCTTTTTAACCAGTTTTCAGCAATGGCTAACAAACAAATGCTGGACAATAACAAACAAATGTTGGAAATAATATTTATAATAAATAATATAATATTAAATAATGATTTATTAGAAAGTTTAATATTTTTACATCACAAATAAATATCTGAAATGCTTAAGGACAACAAAAAGAGATTTTCACAATATCATAACCCAAAATTGTGTGTGTGTGTGTGTGTGTGTGTAAGCATGCACAATGGAATTCACATTGAAAGACTGGTTTGCTTTAGTGCACAATATTGATTAAACCAAGTAGTTCAAAATAAAAGTGGTACTATAGCAATAAGTGGTCTTCTACTACCCTCTGCTGGACATTATACTTATTAATAGTCTTTTCACATGTGCTTTTGCATTCATATATTTAGACACTAAAAAATAACCTTATGTGACAATTACTATAATAACAATCATATTTTGTCTTTCAATTCACTTTACTGTTCTGAAGCTTCACATAATTGCTAGCAACGTGGTAAATCATGGTAAATCACGATAGAAACATGGTAAATCACAGTAAATAATATTATTACATGGTGTATCATGGTAAATCATGCTAGCAATGTGATTAATCATGGTAAAGAATGTTACAACCCTGGTAAATCATCCTATAACATGGTAAATCAAGGTAAACTAAGACAAATCAAGGTAAACTATGATAAAGCATGCTAGAATCATATTACATCTTAGGCTACTAGAATGTGTTCAATTGTGGTAAATCATGCAAGAACAGGGTAAACTATGGTAAATCATACTGTAACATAGTAAATCATTAACAATCACACTGAAATGTTGTATATCATGGCAAATCATGCTAAAACATGGTCTATTCCATCTATGATGTCAGTGGTTAAATGCTTGCTACATAAACCTTAATGTCTTTTGATGCTTTTGAGCTTAACTGTCTTAACTGTCTTAACTGTCTTAAATGCTTGAACACCGCTAAATGCTGCTAGCAGCTTTAATTTTATTTGTTTTTATTTATTCTTTAAAGAGATGCACTGAATTTTGGTGAATAAGAGGACCTGTTTTATTTTGATGCACATAGTTGTACATTAGCAGGAATGTAGCATAATGTGAAAGCAGTTATAATTAGCCTATGTGACAATAACATTTGTTTTGGTTATAACAACAAATAATCGTGATAATTAATCGTGATCTCAATATTGATAAAAATAATCGTGATTATCATTTTGGCCCAAATCGTGCAGCCCTAATGACAGCATCATGCAGAAGGGCTGGAATATAGTAATGTAAGATGATTGATAACTCTACACTAAATGAGAGAGCGCTGAGATCATATCTGACACAAACCAGGAACAGGAGAGACAGACATCGCTGTGTACACTGTTTTAGCTCTTCAGATTGCAAAACTCAGAGTAAAATGAATAGAAATGGTATTCTGTATGACGAAATATTTTCCAGGCATGTGAAAAATCAATATTAACTGACGCTGTTCATTGAAGCTAGGTGAACACAAATAAACCAGAGCAGACGTAAGTGAATATGAAAGAACAAAATGATTCTATTCAAAGTATAAAAAATTACAGATTGTAATTGTTGTTACAGAAAAAATTCTGCACTCCTGACAGAAATTAAGAAATTAATTTGACTGCAACCCAGTTTTTTCATAAACAGTGGTCAAATATCTAAAGTCTTTAATCTTTCTAATGATACTCAATTTGCCCAGATCAAGTAAGAGTCTGATGTTTTAACGTGAGGTGAATGTTAAACAACAAAAATCTGGGGACAGCTTCGATCTTTGAACCTAAAGGGGTTAATAACTCCTTTCCGGTTGAAACTTCCACCAGTTCTTCAACAATGTTGGCAGATAAAATGCTTCTCTCCAGTGTGTCTTCTCATGTAAACTTCAAGGTTTGCTTGTTGATCAGAACTCTTTGTTTCTAGTGTGAATTTTCATGTGATATTTAAGGTTTCCTTTTCGGTTGAAACTCTTTCCACACTGTTGGCAGGTAAAAGGACTCTCTCCACTGTGAATTCTAATGTGAACCTTAAAGTTTCCATGTTGATCAAATCTCTTTCCACACTGAGGGCATTTGTAAGGCTTCTCTCCAGTGTGAATTCTCATGTGGACTTTAAGGTTTCCATGTTGATCGAAACTCTTTCCACACTGAGGACATGAATAAGGTTTCTCTCCGGAGTGAATTCTCATGTGCCTGTTAAGGATTCCTTTTCGAGTGAAACTTTTTCCACACTGTTGGCAGGTGAAAGGGCTCTCTCTGGTGTGAACTTTCATGTGGTAATTAAGGTTTCCTTTTCGGTTGAAACTTTTTCCACACTGTTCACAGGTAAAAGGCTTCTCTCCTGTGTGAGTTCTCATGTGGACTTTAAGGTTTCCATGTTGAAAGAAACTCTTTCCACACTGTTGGCATTTGTAAGACTTTTCTCCCGTGTGAAGTCTCATGTGGACTTTAAGGTTTCCATGTTGATAGAAACTCTGTCCGCACTGAGGGCATTTGTAAGGCTTCTCTCCAGTGTGAAGTCTAATGTGCCTGTTAAGGCTTCCTATTTGAGTGAAACTTATTCCACACTGTTGGCAGGTGAAAGGGCTCTCTCCAGTGTGAACTTTCATGTGGTAATTAAGGTTTCCTTTTCGTTTGAAACTTTTCCCACACTGTTGGCAGGTGAAAGGCCTGTTTGGGGTGTGATTTCTTATGTGGACTTTAAGGTTTCCATGTTGATAGAAACTCTGTCCGCACTGAGGGCATGAATAAGGTTTCTCTCCAGAGTGAATTCTCATGTGCCTGTTAAGGATTCCTTTTTGAGTAAAAATTTTTCCACACTGTTGGCAGGTGAAAGGGCTCTCTCTAGTGTGAACTTTCATGTGGTAATTAAGGTTTCCTTTTCGGTTGAAATTTTTTCCACACTGTTCACATGTAAAAGGCTTCTCTCCAGTGTGAGTTCTCATGTGGACTGTAAGGTTTCCATGTTGATAGAAACTCATTCCACACTGAGAGCATTTATAAGGCTTCTCTCCAGTGTGAAGTCTCATGTGGACTTTAAGGTGTCCATGTTGATAGAAACTCTTTCCACACTGAGGGCATGAATAAGGTTTCCCTCTGGAGTGAATTCTCATGTGCCTGTTAAGGATTCCTTTTTGAGTAAAACTTTTTCCACACTGTTCACAGGTAAAAGGCTTCTCTCCCGTGTGAAGTCTCATGTGGAGTTTAAGGTGTCCATGTTGATAGAAACTCTTTCCACACTGAGGGCATTTGTAAGGCTTCACTCCAGTGTGAAGTCTAATGTGCCTGTTAAGGCTTCCTATTTGAGTGAATCTTTTTCCACACTGTTTGCAGGTGAAAGGGCTCTCTCCAGTGTGAACTTTCATGTGGTAATTAAGGTTTCCTTTTCGGTTGAAACTTTTCCCACACTGTTGGCAGGTGAAAGGCCTTTTTGTGGTGTGATTTCTCATGTGGACTTTAAGGTTTCCATGTTCATCAAATCTCTTTTCACACTGAGGGGATGTGTAAGGCTTCTCTTTAGTGTGCATTTCCATGTGGCTTTTAAGGTTTCCCTGTTGGTAGAAACTCTTTCCACATTGAGAGCAGGTGAAAGGTTTCTCTCCAGAGTGAATTCTCATGTGGTAATTTAGGTTTCCTTTTCGGTTGAAACTTTTTCCACACTGTTTACAGGTAAAAGGCTTCTCTCCAGTGTGAGTTCTCATGTGGACATTAAGGTTTCCACGATGATCAAATCTCTTTCCACACTGAGTGCATGAAAAAGATGTATCTCCGGTGTGAATTTTCATGTGCCTATTAAGGATTCCTTTTTGACTGAAACCTATTCCACAATGTTGGCAGGTAAAATGACTCCCTCCCATATTATTATTTTTAATGTGGACTTTAAGGTTTACATCTTGATTGATACTCTTCCCACTCTGATGTGATATGGAAGGCTTCTCTCCGGTGTGAATTCTCATGTGATAATTAAGGTTTCCTTTGCGGTTGAACTTTTTTCCACACTGTTGGCAGGTAAAAGGGCTCTCTCCAGTGTGAATTCTCATGTGGACTTTAAAGTTTCCATGTTGATAGAAACTCTGTCCACACTGAGGGCATGTGTACGGCTTTTCTCCAGTGTGAATTCTCATGTGGATTTTAAGGTTTCCCTGTTGATAGAAACTCTGTCCACACTGAGGGCATGAATAAGGTTTCTCTCCGGAGTGAATTCTCATGTGCCTGTTAAGGCTTCCTATTTGAGTGAAACTTATTCCACACTGTTGGCAAGTGAAAGGGCTCTCTCCAGTGTGAACTTTCATGTGGTAATTAAGATTACTTTTTCGCTTGAAACTTTTCCCACACTGTTGGCAGGAGAAAGGCCTCTGATCTTTATTTTCCATTTCATTCAGTTCTTCACTCTCCTCTTTCAGCGCCATAAGTTCTAAGGCAAAAAAAAAAGTAATTAAAAAAGACATCAAAAACATTTAGACATGTTAAACATCAAAACCAACAACATGTATCAGAGTGAGTGAAGCGGAAATATTTCCTCCGGAGTAGAGAGCGCCTTTCTTAAGATTCTCTCAAATATTGTTTTAATGAAGTTGTGAAACTTATACTTAACTTTGATGTTTGTACTGGGCATTTAGGCTAAGAACGAAGGAGGAGAATAAATTGAAAGGGAGTGTGGAGAAACTGAGTTTGCAAAGATTCATTTTGTGGTATACTTACAGCAAGGTTTGAAATACTGTCGCAGCGCTATACAGGTCCTTCTCAAAAAATTATCATATTGTGATAAAGTTCATTATTTTCCATAATGTAATGATAAAAATTAAACTTTCATATATTTTAGATTCATTGCACACCAACTGAAATATTTCAGGTCTTTTATTGTTTTAATACTGATGATTTTGGCATACAGCTCATGAAAACCCAAAATTCCTGTCTCAAAAAATTAGCATATTTCATCCGACCAATAACAGAAGTGTTTTTAATACAAAAAAAAAAGTCAACCTTCAAATAATTATGTTCAGTTATGCTCTCAATAGTCAATACTTGGTCGGGAATCCTTTTGCAGAAATGCTTCAGTGCGGCGTGGCATGGAGGCAATCAGCCTGTGGCACTGCTGAGGTGTTATGGAGGCCCAGGATGCTTCGATAGCAGCCTTAAGCTCATCCAGAGTGTTGGGTTTTGCGTCTCTCAACTTTCTCTTCACAATATCCCACAGATTCTCTATGGGGTTCAGGTCAGGAGAGCTGGCAGGCCAATTGAGCACAGTAATACCATGGTCAGTAAACCATTTACCCGTGGTTTTGGCACTGTGAGCAGGTGCCAGGTCGTGCTGAAAAAATGAAATCTTCATCTCCATAAAGCTTTTCAGCAGATGGAAGAATGAAGTGCTCCAAAATCTCCTGATAGCTAGCTGCATTGACCCTGTCCTTAATAAAACACAGTGCACCAACACCAGCAGCTGACATGGCACCCCAGACCATCACTGACTGTGGGTACTTGACACTGGACTTCAGGCATTTTGGCATTTCCTTCTCCCCAGTCTTCCTCCAGACTCTGGCACCTTGATTTCCGAATGACATGCAAAACTGAGCAACAGTCCAGTGCTGCTTCTCTGTAGCCCAGGTCAGGCGCTTCTGCCGCTGTTTCTGGTTCAAAAGTGGCTTGACCTGGGGAATGCGGCACCTGTAGCCCATTTCCTGCACACGCCTGTGCACGGTGGCTCTGGATGTTTCTACTCCAGACTCAGTCCACTGCTTCCGCAGGTCCCCCAAGGTCTGGAATCGGTCCTTCTCCACAATCTTCCTCAGGGTCCGGTCACCTCTTCTCGTTGTGCAGCGTTTTTTGCCACACTTTTTCCTTCCCACAGACTTCCCACTGAGGTGCCTTGATACAGCACTCTGGGAACAGCCTATTTGTTCAGAAATTTCTTTCTGTCTTACCCTCTTGCTTGAGGGTGTCAATGATGGCCTTCTGGACAGCAGTCAGGTCGGCAGTCTTACCCATGATTGCAGTTTTGAGTAATGAAACAGGCTAGGAGTTTTTAAAAGCCTCAGGAATCTTTTGCAGGTGTTTAGAGTTAATTAGTTGATTCAGATGATTAGGTTAATAGCTTGTTTAGAGACCCTTTTCATGATATGCTCATTTTTTTAGACAGGAATTTTGGGTTTTCATGAGCTGTATGCCAAAATCATCAGTATTAAAACAATAAAAGACCTGAAATATTACAGTTGGTGTGCAATGAATCTAAAATATATGAAAGTTTAATTTTTATCATTACATAATGGAAAATAATTAACTTTATCACAATATGGTAATTTTTTTAGAAGGACCTGTACTAGTAACAAACATCCCGACAGATGAGAATCCCGTTTAGACGAATATGTAAATATTAGGAGTGTAACGATAGACGTATGCGTATTGAACCTGTAGGATTACAAATTTATTTAAATGTTCAATTTAGATTTCCAATACAATAGTATTTTATATTGAGAAAGTTTATAAATGATGAGACCAGGAAATCTCTGCAAACAGTAGGGGTTCCCAGTGGGGTATTCCTTACTGTCCCTTCTCAGTACGAGAAGGCCATGCCTTTCCTGTTCTCGTGTCTCACCGGGTGAAGACAACATGCTGAGCAGGTTCCAAAACCTGTATACCTCATTTACATATGCTTTGTTTCAGAGGGTCTCCACCTCCATGTAATCCCACCCCCTTGAAATGTATAAAGGGTGCGTTCAATTATTTATCCGTCTCGGAGATCCGAATCGGAAGACAGACGTTGCGTAGCAACACGCCCCCTTTCCTCGGATTTCTCCTCTCGGACGTCGGACAACCGTGAGGACACCGAGCAAGAATTCCGTTTCGGAATTCAAGATGGCTGCGCCCTGTGTGACTTGTTAGTATGAATTGTTTTCATTGTTTTTGAACCGCTTTGGTATTTTAAATGACGATTATAATCACTCGTATTACTGCGTCCCCTGTAGGTATGGGAATCGGTTGTTGTGAGTGCAATTACTACGTTGCTAGCGTTGCTAACAGAAGATTAACATGAACTTGAAAATGTTCACTTTATTTCATGTTTTTCAAGTTCTTCTCCTCGGTGTTCTGTAAGGTGAAGCACATACTTATTTTGGAGCGCCTGGTACTCGGCCAGTGCTACCATTACAACGGGTGGCGTCCATTTTTTTCTCCGACTCGGACGCGCAAAACATAATAGAACGCTTGAAGTCTGGACGTGACGTCATATCCGAGGTCCGAGTCGGTTCGTTGGCTATAATAGAACGCACCAATAAACTACAATGTATACTGCCTTAGTTAGACTTGGCTAAGATTTTTGGACAAAGCAGACTACAGCGATGCAACAGCAATAAAGAATCCTGCTTGAAAAGATACTTCAGAGTCTCCTGGTCTTCGCTTCTGAGTTTCCTACACTTTAGAAGAAAAAGTTCACAACAAACCGTTATTATTATTGTCGGAGTGGAATTTGAGCGAATGGTGTATTTCCGGTGAGCTGTACATGAGTGGAACGTGAATGATCAAGTGGACAAACGGCTGCTTTTAAATGCTCATGTGCACTTTGTGAAGAGCGCTCTTGGCATTCGTCTGTGCGCAATTTAGCGTTGACTTTCTTCAAAAGGGAACCGGGGAAGCTTCCGCATAAACGGGCTCGGAAGCACATGTGAAATCACGCCAATTCTATTGGCTGCCGATAATGATATGGCGTGAAATGGTCTGTCACATGACTATAAAATGGACCCTGCATTGAATATCATCATCTTCGTTTCTAGGATTGCGCCATATGTGGAATCGTCAGTAGAGTTGTTCCGATTCCGATACCAGTATCGGAAATGCCTCCGATACTGCCGAAAATGCGGGCATCGGTATCGGCGAGTACTGGAGTCCAGGCACCGATCCGATACCACGTAATTTATTAGAAATAGGAATCTATTTACTGGTTAGCTCCGTTAGCTCTGACACAGTTCTTCTTCGTCGCTCTTAAAACAGTTGCGCTGTGCTGCCATCAGCAGCTGCTGTATTAGAGGGGCGAAGAAGAATTGATCACGTGACGCCTCCAGGAGCTAACTTTAGCGCATCATGTCGGCGGTTTGGCAGTACTTTACTGTGGATGTTCCCACTAGTAAGACGGCGACATGCAACATATGCAAAGAAGCGATTTCGAGGGGTGGCACGAGTGTTGCAAATTTCAACACCAGCAACTTAATCAAACATTTGAAGACGCGTCACGCTAAAGAGCACGACGAATTTACTAAAGCTAAGGGTAAAAAGAAAGACGAACTGCAGCAGCAAACTCTGGAAACTGCCTTCCAGCGACGAGATAAATTCCCCAAAGACAGCCAAAAAGCAACAAAGATAACCGACAAAATTTTGGAGTTTATTGTCCTGGATGACCAACCCCTGTCTGTCGTCGAAAACGTGGGATTTCGCCGCTTAGTGGAGCATTTGGAGCCAAGGTACTGTTTGCCAGGTCGTAAATATATCTCCGAAACTGCGCTACCCAAATTATATGAGACAGTTAGTGAACACATTTTGTGTATGCTGAAAGACGTGCATAGAATCAGCTTTACCACGGACATTTGGAGCTCCGACGTGTGCCCCATGTCTTTGCTAAGTTTAACGTCACACTGGGTGGACAGAGAGTCAACATTTACCCCTCAAAGTGCGGTGCTGCACGCCAACGAGTTCCGAGGGTCACATACTGGCACATTAATTGCCGAAGCAATTGAGAGGATGCTAGTAAAGTGGAAAATCCCCAAGTCCAACGTTCATGTTGTTTTGCGCGACAACGCTAGCAACATGAAGAAAGCCATGGACGAGATGGATGTACCAAGTTTGGGATGCTTCGCCCACACTCTCCAGCTGGCGGTGCATGAAGGGCTACTGTTTCAGAGAAGTGTGAGTGATGCACTGGCAAATGGTAGGAAGATAGTCGCGCATTTCAAACACTCGCCACTGGCTACTACACGCCTGGAGGATATCCAAAAAGATCTCCAAATGCCCACCAAACGTCTGCAACAAGACGTAGCAACGAGGTGGAACAGTAGCTACTATATGGTTGAGAGTTTACTGAGGCAGAAGCGGTCAATTTCAGCATATGGAGCTGACCACGACCTACCAGTGACCCTTACGGCTAACCAGTGGGCTTTACTGGAGAAAACGATCACTGTTCTGGCACCATTTGAAGAACTGACCAGACAGATTAGCTCCTCCACCTCTTCTGCAGCTGAAGTCATCCCCTCAGTCACAGTGCTGAAACGCCTGCTTGCTCGGGAGAACGAGGGGGACACGGGTATAAAAACCATGAAAACAACCCTTCTTGAGGCTGACCAGAAAAGATTCAAGACCATCGAGAATGAGCCCTTGTATGCAGTTGCCACTCTTTTAGATCCACGATTCAAAGACAGGTATGTCTAATTT